TATTTGTCCTTTGTACAATTTATAATCATGCTAATTTGTTGATCTTCTAAAGGTTTCTTCTTATGTTTAATTTATAACTTACTAGCAGAGATACCTGGTTAAGCCAGACTGAAAAAAAAGAATGGTATAAATGGGGGAGTGGGCTGTACCCTTTGACTGTTTTGAATCATAGCACATGATCTATTAATCCTGTACTCTGTGCATAGTATTAAATGTCACTTTCGTCTTATGTCAGCTTCACATATTTTGCTACAAAATTTTCTGGACTAGATTAATATTTATTCATAGCATTAATTCTTTACATATAGGGTCGGTTGATTTGACCGATCTTGTAACCACAAGGTAACTATCAGAGTTTCCATACTATAATTTTTATAATGTTTTGTGTATCTTCACAAAATTTGGTGAGCTTTCAGTAAACATTGGAACTCTTTTGTACACAAATATCAGATTTTTTAATTAAGTATTTTCACTAAAGATTTATTCATGAACATATAGAATGAGGGTGTTAAGTGCTCTGAGTGCAAAGTAATTTTCATGTTAAGATTAAAAATAACTTAATGTTTTTGGACAACATGGGACCTATTAGTGCATCTCAGCTGTTCCATCCTCTAAACTAAACCTATTAATAAAAAATAAAAAAAAATAGATGAAAAAAATCTTATAGCTAGCCCCTATCACTCATGTACTTATCAAGCTTTCTCTTAAACTCACTTAAATTTACTGCCTCCACGACATCTGAAGGTAACTCATTCCAAAGGCCAACCACCCTGTTAGACAAATAAAACTGTCTTAGTTGAAGATGACTTCTACCCTGCCAAAATGTGTTTCCTAGTCCTACTGTTCTCACTGTTAAGTAGGAAAAATAATGGTGCATCAACACTATCAATTCCCTTTATAATCTTAAACACTTCTAACTTTTCTTTTGTCAAGAGAAAACAATTTGAGAAATTACAATCTCTCCTCATCTGACAACCCCTCCATCCCAGGCACCATTCTAGTAACTATCCTTTCTGAACCATTTCCAACAATCAAATGTTATTCCTAAGGTCAGGAGCCCAAGACTAAACACAATATTCCAAATGTGTCCTAACCAGTGACCTATACTTTTCTTCATTTGAAAATTTTCACATTTCATATGCATAATTTCTAAAACTTCCTAGAAAAATATCAGTTTTTTTTTCCATTAAAACTGTATACCTTATGTATTATTTTCTCAACCCTAACTCTACATGGTCTTGGTCAATTTGACCAACCTTGTAACCACTATTAAAAAAAATAAAATAAATCTAAATTCCCCTTTTCTCATTCTAGAATGACAGTAGATTGTAACAGGAAACTACAATCGTTTATCATAAATACTTTAAAGCTCATATCATTATGCATCCATTTATATTTAATGTTATTGTTTTGTTGCCCTTTGAATCATGCCTAACTAATAATCCTGACACACAAGTTGTAAATTGGGTGAATGCATAGCTTATTTTACCTAGTGAAAAAAAGTTTTTTATTATCTTACCTAATCTAACATAATATACTTCTAATTCTTACATATTAGTTACTTTTATAATTATAAATATAGAATATACATGAAAAACAAGAAATATAGTACTTATCTCTGACCTTTTGTTTTTTTGCTGTTGGTTGCTGATGAAGTTTAAGCCTACCTTTTTATAATGATGGTACTAGTACACTAAATAATTTTTATTTACTTAAATAATGCACCTAAGGACACAGAATAATAACATGCATAAAGCAAACAATGTCCTATAAATATCATAATTCAACTGACTTTCTAACTATGGCATGAGAGCCTTCAAATAATTCACAAAGCTTCTTGATCTAAACACTACAAGAGAAACTACCAAACTGAAGACAAAATAGACAGTTCTCTGTACTGAAAACAATGTAATATAATACTTTGCCTTTCTGTTGGTTATAAATAATATAGTATTAAAGATCAGAAAGAATGATTGGCAATTTGTGAAAGACAGGATGTGACAGATGGGCGTGGCAAGTGTCTGATTTTCTACTCTATAAGGCTATTGAAGGCTATAAGATTAGACTGCCTTAGTAATGTCTGTATGTATAAAAGCCACTGTCTGTTGTTAATGCTCAAATTTCCTCAGTGGTTAGAGTGTCTGAGCCTCAAGTGGAAGTCTCACATTCAAATACTACTATAGCTGGGATTTTTTATAATTTTTAAAAAAATAAGTGATCATGTTTAGAGGAAACATTTCCAATGTTTGGAAAAACATAAATACCATGATATTTTATACCATGATATATATATATATATA